AACTGAGGGACACGGATTCTGCCCTTGGCAGCCTAACATCTCTTCCCCACCTCCAGCCAAGAGGCAGAAGAGAATTAAATGGCTGCTCTCTATCTCTCCAAGAAGCTTCCAAGACATTCCCAGAGAGGTGCGGTGGCTGGGGCTGGTGGCTCCAGCAGCAGGTCTGCCCTTGGCATTATTTTTATTGGAGGAATATGATGAACTGAACTGTAAGGAAAAGGAAGCTCCTGGCTCCACATCAGGCAGGGAGCATCATGTGAGAGTTATCTTGAACACCTGGTGCACAAAGGTCATAGAACCCTTGGTGAGAAAGAGGTGCTACTTCCTTGTTTTCTAGCCCAGATGCCCATTTCAGGCCCCAAAAGCCCCATATGTTTTAAGAACAAAAGCAAAATTCTCCTGCTCCAGACAGTCAGAGCAGGGCAAGGAAGCCCTAAGGATGGGGATGAAATAGATCAGATCTATAAATGGCTCCTTTCTCTGTTAGAGAAAAAAGCTTTTCAGAAGAGCAAAGTGGGAAAATTTTATGTTTAATTGCTGCTCTTCAAAAAAATGATATAGCCTTGTTTATGATCATTCATAAAATTCAATGTTTACATAAAATATAGGAAACCCTAAACTAGTTAGAGAAAAGTAATTTCACATGATCCCCCCCCCCAATAGACAAAAGAATAATTTAATGTGGGGGCCTGATTCAGGCTACATGCAAAGAAAATAGCTGCTTTCCCACCACAAGTGCAATCACAAACTACCTAAGGATATTTTAGCCAGGTTTAGCTTGTGTGAATGCAATTATTCAGTTCCATTATAAAGTTATATTTTGCTATAAATTAGAAAGTTAATTCCATGATGAAAGCCAGTCAGAATGCATGCTTGTTTGGATAGCATAAGAATTCTAAAATGAAAAAGAATCCTTTTCTTTCCACTTAGAAATATTATTCACATCTGCTGGTGCTTGGTAGAGACTTTTAAAAAAGATGGTGAAAATCAGCACCCTCAAATTTCTTGCTGTTATGGTTGCAAAGTGAGTTGGAAGTATAAGCAGTAACATTTCATAATCGGGACTCTGATTCGGATGGACTGATTTCTAAAACTGGAACCAAGTAGCCTTCTGAGATTCCGTGGCACAACAAAACCGCGCTCGATTAAAGCGCGCCTGATTAAAGCGCGTCGCTGACGTCATCAACAGGGCGACAACAGCGAGCGCGGAGAAAGAAGGGCGCTTTAAATAGCGCTTTGAAAGCAAGCCGATTCAAGTTAAGGTAAGGGTTAGGTTTAGGGTTAGGTTTAGGGTTAGGTTAAGGGTTAGGTTTAGGGTTAGGTTAAGGGTTAGGTTTAGGG